ACGGGTGATAACACTTCTTTCGCTTACCTTCACATCCAGTTCTCTTGGATTCTGTTTGCCGTCAATCCGTTGAATCAAACAAATCCAAGCGTTGATGCCGTCGTCCACTCCAACATAACAGCGCTTCCATTAAGTGATCAACGCTTGAGTTTACGTGAATTGTATCGGTTTGTGGGAAAAGACAAGTTTCAGATCATTAGCTATAATATAGTGATTGGAAATAAGATTATAATATTCGATACAAACAGCTCTCGACTCAAGTGTCTCATTCATTGTTTGTCACAATTATTGCCCAAACAGTGCATTCATATCTCCACCGATTTCCAGCACTTTAATGAATCGGCAAAACATAACTTTATTGGGATTTCAAGTCTCGATTTATTGTCTAATAATATAATTGATTCGGAATTTTATGCGTTGATCACTATTAAAGATAAAGCGATTGATCCCAAGAACAGTAAACTTTTACTCTCAGATAAAACTCAAATATCGGTTCAGTCGAAGACTAAACTTCCGGAGCGACTGCCAAACTATTTGACTAATTTGGAGAGTATATTGACTAATATGTCTTATTCGGACTCAACATTGCATTCATATATGATTACATCGAGGAATGAATGGCTTAATAGAGCGCAGACTTTCTATTCGTATACCAAAGGAGTGAATCCTCCGAGGAGTGCATCACAAATGAATTCAATGTTCAAATTGATTCAATCGGAAGACTGCGATCGCAAACTCATTCACTTTTGGGCTAACAATGGACTGGATGTCGAGTACAAGACTAAAGTGTTTTCCATTAATTTTGAGTCAGATTTACAAGAAATTAACGGAAAACTAACTAATATTAAATGAAATCGTTTTATTGAAATTTTGCTCATTTTTATGTGATATTTGTTAAAAACTATTAACTTTTATATATGTATATATTAAATGAAAAAAACTAACAAATTTTAAGTAAATCATAGAAATTTTAAATTGAAATACAAATTATTTAGCGGGAGGTGAGAGGGGAGGCATTGGCAACCCGTGACCTCCGCCCCCACCCGACAGTGCGGCCGACGGACCCAACAATATCTAAATGAGACAAATAAACGTGGGATTAGTTATAGTGTAGTGAATGGTAGGACAATGTGTATACCTGTCTCTGTTGTTGTTTAGACATCTCATCCAACTGTGATCTCTCCATCTCGAGAGCCAAAGGCGCCAACAGTACCACCGATGACGTGAACACAACCCAAAGAGCCGAACGACTGAATCCATACAACTGTTTGAAGCCATTGACTGAGCCTTTGGTCGCAAACACGAAACCATTTCTCACTGATTGCGGAAACATTTCAGTCAAACCCATCAGTCTTTCGGTGAAAGTCTCGTCCAAATCCTATTGAATGAGTCAATGGATCAGCAAATGGTACGACAAATGCATGACTGGTTGCAGACAAACCTCGAAGTCGTCGTCGCCGTCGCCGTCATCTCTCGCATTGATATTCATTTGGCTGTTGGATGTGTTGGGAGTGAGTTGTCCACTGTTTGGTTCGTTGATCCCGGAGTCGGTGGGCGACGGATCACTCATTGATGGCTAGAGTATGGCTTACGTCGGGAGACAAACACCGTTACAATGAATACACCAAACGATGAATGGTTTGAAATTGAAATTTTCAATGCATTCGCATCCCATTCACTGCAATGCATGCAAAACGTGAGACTTGACTCTCACTGCAGCAGACAATTGGCGCTCACTTTGAAATGCAATTCACGCGTGGATTATGTGTTCATTAAATCATTAAATGTCTTATTTGTAGCAATAATCACGTGACATATGTTTGCATTCATTCATTGCTAGACTATATTAGTTGAGATAATTTTGTGATTATAATATAAAATTAATGAAACAATGAGACAGGTTACATAAGACAAATGCCAAGGTAAAAGTAGATCTATTGCATTAAATGACTCAATGTATAATTAATACCTGATCCCCTGTTTATGCACGTGTTGACTTTTAAAAGTTACCATGTTAAATGACCATGTTTTAATACATGTATTTATTGACAATTTAAGCCATTCTTTATGATTAAGGATTAGTCATATATTGAGTGATCATTACTGTGACAATGAGTGCTAAACATTAAACATATGATCCGATCATTCAATGTCTTTATCTCGAAATTAAAGAAATGTTTAAAACTTTCAAATAACCATCACTTGTATAACCGGAAGAATATTTCAGTGAATCAAATAATGGATGAATCCATTGACAGATCCAATGAATCCAATGGTGAGTGTGTTGTGAAGGAAGGGAAAGCAGATATTCTTCGGCTGCCATTTGTCTTCTACAACAGAGTCCAGGAATTCAACCGAGACTTTAGGTTACATTGCATTTGATTATCATTGAATTGATCTCATATTACCATTCATTACTAACATATGACTGAATGTGTAATATCTGAATGAATAGTGTTCTCGCGATTAACACTCAAAAGAGACATAACTTATACAGCACTTTGAGATCTATTGTTTAATGTCATACCTATTTGTTTTTAGTAGAATCATGTATTTTTAAAACATCAATAAAATTAAATCTATAGTATAATTGTCCAATACAAAATATATCTGTTTATTTAAAATACTAATACATAATTTAACAAATATATCAAATGTTAGATAAAGTTTAAAATTAAGCATTTAATGTTGAAGTAAATAACTTTATATTTTTGGATGAAATAAGGTCTTATATTGTCATGTTTAAGCTAATAGTAATTTATTTAACAAGTTAATGCCTACAATAGTTTTGGTCGTAACAAAAATAAATTGTCACATAAATGTCATAAAATTTCAGTTTTTTAGTTTATTATAAATTAAGTTTAATTTTATAGCAAAAGTGATTTAAGGAGCACTGCAAATTAGAATTTTAAATATTTTAAAAATGATTATCACTTCAATGAATAAAGTTTAGACATCCTATTTGTCAGAGAAATACAGTCTATTAAATAAATTGCTAGTAATTCATCGTTTAAGATAACCGTCATTAACTTTTTTTTATTAACCATATTAATTGAAATTATTTATAAAACAATAATTTTATTTATAGAATAATTATTACCGCATAAAAATTTAAAAATGAAATATTTATATAATAATTTAGTGGTTTCTGTAATTTTTATACTTGAATTGTGTCAGTTCAATTAAAGAGTTAATATTGTGAATCATATTCGTAAAAATAATAAGTTTGTAAATTAATAAATGATACAGAAATTCAATAATGAGTTTATACGACAGTATAAATTTTATAGTGATTTAAGCATTAAATAAAATAGTGTTCATCCAACTGATGTATTGTTATAACTTTAGCTAGTAAAGTTTTCAAACATAAATTTTAAGGCTAAATATAAATATTTATAAAATATGATTAATAATGAGTGTTATAAACAAATTAATGCCACAATAGGAAAAGTGTGAAAAATGCCATTTAAAGCATTTGGAGTCACGAATGCGAGTGATTTTGTACAGAATATTCTGTGCAGTGATTACAGCAGTGTATGGGTGGGAGGCCTACGAGTGCAGTGCAGTGCATGTGTGAGCGTAGAGTTGGCGTGCAGTGACTGGTGGTGGCACTGGTGATGGCACTGGTGGTGGCAATAGTGTCGGTGCTGTGCTCTATACAGGGCTCATACGAAACGTGTTTCACTGCAGGCATTGCATTGAGAGGACAGGTATTCAAAGCGCACATGTTTTCCATGTTTTAAATCCTTTGCATTTAAATCCAGTACTCGTTGTTTCAATTGACTGTTAATTGCATTCAAATCGTTGTTTTATTTATTAATTTAATTGTCTTTGACTTCATTTCAATTGCTGTAATCAATAGTCAAAATGTTTTGGGGTTTGTATTCAATGTCTTTGCCGTCGATGTCTTCAATTTGTTTTATGAAAGACTTGTTTTAAAAGTCTTTAACAAATGAATCCAATTTCTAATGATATGATTGACTCAATGGTGTCTTTAGGCGTTACTCTAGAGACCGGTAAAAGATATTCCCAAAGAGTGGAGGAGTCCTACCACTTGACGATGGCTGCACTGGAACCGCCCTCCGAAGGCAAGAAAGTGTCCAAATATGTGTCCATATATGTGGAGCACCAGAAGGCCGAGTACATGATCTGCACGTTAGAGCCGAACCGCAATCTTCAGGTAAATCTGGACCACATGTTCGTCGAGGTTCCGAAGGCAAGAAAGTGTCCAAATATGTGTCCATATATGTGGAGCACCAGAAGGCCGAGTACATGATCTGCACGTTAGAGCCGAACCGCAATCTTCAGGTAAATCTGGACCACATGTTCGTCGAGGGAGAAGAGGTGACCTATTATCTGGTGGGCGACGGAACCGTTCATTTGACGGGATATCTGGTCGGAGATCCATATGACGACTACGACGAAGAGCTGAGCGATGAGGACGGCGAAGAAGACGAGGAGAGCAGCGATGAAGACGTGCCGACACTTAACGCCAAGAACTCTAAGCGTAAGAACGAAGCGCTCGACAGCTCTCTGGAATCGATCGGTAAGAAAGCGAAAGTGGACTCAAAAGTGGCGAACGCTTTGCCCAAAAAGGCCGACAATAAAGCCGAAGGGAATGCCATTAAGACACTGAATAAGAATAAGAACGACAATAAGTCGGCCAAACCTAATGAGAACCGGTTGTTATTCGTGCTTTCGCTACTGAGCCTACTTCTACTTCTCAGCCTCCTATACCTACTAAGCCAACCAAAGGACCTATTCCTTCGCCAACTCTCGCCACCGTCACTACTACTCCTGCTTGATGATGAAGAAGAAGACGAGGAGGACAGCGATGAATCCGGTTTGGGTTATGAGTTGATTCCAAAAGTGATTTATTTTAATGAAAATTATTTGATTTTCAGACGAATCAGAAAAAGTGCAGAAAAGCAAAGACCAGAAACCGAAACCACAACAGAATCAACAAAAGCAAAACCAAAATCAGTTGAGCTCTCCTCAGAAGTCCCCTCAGAACCAAAACCAGAATCAGAAGCCGTGGGGAAGTGGACAGAAGGGCGGCCAACAGAAAGGCTTTCAGCAACAGAAGGGACAGTGGAACCAATCGGGAGGACAGAAGAACTTCAATCAGAACCAAAAGGGAGGAAATCAGTGGCAGAACAAGAAGCAGTTTGGAAGCGGTGGTGGAGGTGGCGGTCAGAACAACAACACCCCAAACAACAACTACAAAGGCGGCCAACAGAATAAGAGCCCTAACTTCAGAGGCGGTCAACAGAATAATAGCCCCAACTTTAGAGGCGGTCAGCAAAACAACTTCAAAGGAGGCAAACAGACCCCGAACTTCGGTGGAAAGGGAGGAGGAAATAAGCCAAACTTTAACCAAACGCCCAAATTTAGTGGACAAAAGGCAAGCAATTTCAATCAGAATAAGAAGCAATGGAATTCTGATAAGAAATAATTGGTTTCAATCTCTCATTAATTACATTTTATTAGTATTTGAAGTTTTAATCGATAATACAAAGCATTATAATTATAAATTCAAAGAAATTAATTTTTTAATTGCATTCCTATTGTATTTGAGTTGAACGCATATAATCATTAAAAGTCGTTTTAAGAAATATCTAATTTGTCGACAACTGATTCAGGACCTCATTAGACACAATACACGAAGACATTTGAACGGAGGAGTCGTTGTTGAAGACATTTGTGAAGGGAAGGGAATCGCTGCTAAAAGCGGACAATTTGTAGGTTTCATTTGAACCGCATTTGAGTGATAAGGTTGTGACAGTCCCAATACCACAAATCCAAGTGCAGTTAATACACCCAGCGGAGTTCTTATTCCACAAGCTGGCCTGTATGGTATTCGGGAAGAGCAAGTCTGACCCGAGACCGCTTCAGTAGTTTCCGACCCTACAGGGCCTCCAAGACATGAAAGTCGGGGGTAAACGCAAGATCACTGTTCCCTCGCAAATGGGGTAACAATTGACACTTAGTGTCCTTGCACGTATATTGAGATGTCCATTGATTCAATCTGTGCTTTATAGCTATGGGAACCGATCCATGGGTCCCATTCCAGCCAACAGTACCCTTGAATTTGAGGTCGAATTAAAGTCCGTAACATAACTGTGTTTTTATTGATTTATCGACATTTTTATTGATTTTTATATCTTTTAATTGAAGACAGTATTTAAATAAAAGTGAAATAATTGTACAGAAATTAAAAATTGTAATACAAGTGAAGTTGAAATGAATTTCGAAGGGAAAGTTATTAATTCTAGTTTTGAATTCATTTAAATAAGTTTCTAGAAAGTTTACAAATTGTTTAATTTGTTAATTATTTATATGACATTCACTGAACCTAATCGTAATCATCAGTCGACTCGTATGTGCCATTCGATGACTGGTTGTTGACGTTACTATCACTGGTCGTTGATTGGGTGCCCACTCGGGGGTCAGTATTAGTACTGGTCGACAGCGTCTCGGGTCGACCGGTGGTGCGACTTGTGGTCAGTTCCTTACGACACACCGGACACGTAGCGTGCTTTCGGTACACAACACATCAATGTTTCAATTGAATCAATACTTATGTCTATTAGTCATACCATTTGAAGCCACGGAACGATACATTCATTATGATAGCAGTGACTGCACTCTAAATGTCTCACTTTTTCGGCTACTTTGAAGTCCTCCATACATACAGTGCACTGCAGATTCTTGTGGACCTGTTCATCAGTGATGGCCACAAACGGCACTTTGTCGATGTCCTCCTTAGCCATCGGTGCAGGTCCTGAGCCATCCAATTGATTTAACAGCTGTTCACACAATCACACCATTAGATCCCATAGCACTTGATTCGACACATGAATACTCACTTGACTTATGATTTCGTTGAGCCCCCCCTCACCCCACGCATAGTCCCCTGGATTTCCATGAAGTACTTGGAACAGAGGTAATGGGAAGTCTATATTAATGAGTCCGCGGGCGCCCACATTCACGCCCCCCTCACGTCCGGCCAACTGACCCGATGCCACGTTTGTGAGGATGTGTTGGAATAAACTGTCAATTCATTCATCCATTCATTAAGACTATAGTGCGAGTGAACACTAGTAATAGAGAGTAGGCCTACCCTTCCAGTGACTGACTCGTGTCCAGAGGACCCGACTCTGCATTTCGGGGCAGATTTAGTTGGAAATAACGGGTCGTCGGACGCCGAGGATTGCCGTCGTTTGGGGAATATCTGTGACTTCGCAACGAAGACCTTCCGGACTCCGGCTGCGAACCATTGGTCGTACTGTTGGAACCATTAGTGGAACTTCGAGGTCGTGGCCCGCCGTACGGTTCGTAGAGATCATCCAAAATGTCAGCCATTTGTTGATCGTTGTTATCATCGCTGTGTATGTAAGACATGTCAATATATATGAGTGAAATGGTGGCGAATGTGGTGCTCGTGGTGTACGTACTGATTGGTCTCATGGGTCTCTTCATGACTGACTTCTTCGACAAATCCTGAGCGACAGAGCGGACACGTGAAGTCCTGACACACATTCACACATCGATTAGTGACAATCTATGGCTCATTTGGCCTCAAATGCGCCACAAGTAAGACATACCGGGGTAACGGAATCCGATTCTTGAGAGCATTGGTGACAGAAATATCTCAACGAAGACATAGTGGTCGACATATCAACGGCTGCCTCAGCCATCACTTGTCCAGCGATTGCTTCAGATGTCAATAGTATTCGAGTGAATCGTATGAATGAAATGAAACACTATTTTCAACACATATTTGGCTGACAGAGGGATACACTGTCTGTCACTTCACTCAACACTGCACTGAACATCGCATACGACACCAAACTATCCATACATTTGCCAAACATTTCAATCCATACGAGCAATCATTGCATTCATTTCAACCACAATTTAACCGCATTTTCATTATTATAATTCATTATCACATTTAGTTTATTATCAATCAAAACACGACAGTCGCTCACATCGACCCCACCAAATATGCTCACCCCTTGCCCACCCCTGTCACCCCTCCCTCTGCACATTTAGCGTACATATTATGTGAAAGTGTTGTCATAAGACGTATCGCTAATCATATGATTATTATTGACTAAAGTTATCAAAACATTGAAAGCTTTGCGAAACTCATTGATTAGTTGTGTCTACACTTTGACCATCAGTTAAGTGATCACAAGTGGTGTTGTCTTGTCCTCAAGAGTGCACATCAGTCGTGATGAGCAGAAAAGTGGACAAATTGTTGTGTTTCTGTCACTTCTGTGAACTCCACGGACCCAATGTCATCCTCACCACTCATTGTATCTCTCAATCGGATCTCTTGTATTATACGGATCCCAAACAGTCGGACAACAGCCGCACCGCTTCTTCATTGACGTCATCCATGTCTTCATTGCCCACGAATTCACTGATTGCCGATAATCTAAACTTATTTAGCAATGAAATCCATTTGATTAGCGATGACTTCCAGAGGCGAAGCTATGACTGCTCGGGCTGTTCACTCAAATCCAAGTCATTGGACGGATTCAATGGGTTTCTGTCTTACGACGAGAGCAAGAACTTTGGATTCATTACAAACGGTTACCCCATCGATGGCAACAGCGGTGGCAATGGCCTGAATGGAAGCGATGGCATCACCGATGGTCTGATCCGAGACGCGTGTATCCGAAGCCTGAGTTGCGAAGTGTATGACTCGAGTGAAGGCGAAGGTCTCATATACTTCGGTGACGACCAAAGAGCACATCTTCTCAGCTATTTGTTTGTGTTGAAGGACTCGAAGGCCCGCGGCTTTCAGCGCACGTATAGTATACTTGTGATGAGTCGAGACAAACACGAGTTACTCAACGATTGGGACTTTTATGTGAAACACATCCAACAGATTGTGTCCAAACTGAAGAGTAGGGCTAAAATCATATACGAAAGCGAATTGACGCAAACCACTTGCCAACAGAGGAGGTCTTTGATTCTGGACAATGTGTCCAACTTTGGCGCCAATATTCACTCTTTCGAAGACATTCTCGACAGAAACCCATTGAATACTCACCGAATCAATAGTAAAGCGCGATCTCTTCTGGAACTCACGGGTGATAACACTTCTTTCGCTTACCTTCACATCCAGTTCTCTTGGATTCTGTTTGCCGTCAATCCGTTGAATCAAACAAATCCAAGCGTTGATGCCGTCGTCCACTCCAACATAACAGCGCTTCCATTAAGTGATCAACGCTTGAGTTTACGTGAATTGTATCGGTTTGTGGGAAAAGACAAGTTTCAGATCATTAGCTATAATATAGTGATTGGAAATAAGATTATAATATTCGATACAAACAGCTCTCGACTCAAGTGTCTCATTCATTGTTTGTCACAATTATTGCCCAAACAGTGCATTCATATCTCCACCGATTTCCAGCACTTTAATGAATCGGCAAAACATAACTTTATTGGGATTTCAAGTCTCGATTTATTGTCTAATAATATAATTGATTCGGAATTTTATGCGTTGATCACTATTAAAGATAAAGCGATTGATCCCAAGAACAGTAAACTTTTACTCTCAGATAAAACTCAAATATCGGTTCAGTCGAAGACTAAACTTCCGGAGCGACTGCCAAACTATTTGACTAATTTGGAGAGTATATTGACTAATATGTCTTATTCGGACACAACATTGCATTCATATGTGATTACATCGAGGAATGAATGGCTTAATAGAGCGCAGACTTTCTATTCGTATACCAAAGGAGTGAATCCTCCGAGGAGTGCATCACAAATGAATTCAATGTTAAAATTGATTCAATCGGAAGACTGCGATCGCAAACTCATTCACTTTTGGGCTAACAATGGACTGGATGTCGAGTACAAGACTAAAGTGTTTTCCATTAATTTTGAGTCAGATTTACAAGAAATTAACGGAAAACTAACTAATATTAAATGAAATCGTTTTATTGAAATTTTGCTCATTTTTATGTGATATTTGTTAAAAACTATTAACTTTTATATATGTATATATTAAATGAAAAAAACTAACAAATTTTAAGTAAATCATAGAAATTTTAAATTGAAATACAAATTATTTAGCGGGAGGTGAGAGGGGAGGCATTGGCAACCCGTGACCTCCGCCCCCACCCGACAGTGCGGCCGACGGACCCAACAATATCTAAATGAGACAAATAAACGTGGGATTAGTTATAGTGTAGTGAATGGTAGGACAATGTGTATACCTGTCTCTGTTGTTGTTTAGACATCTCATCCAACTGTGATCTCTCCATCTCGAGAGCCAAAGGCGCCAACAGTACCACCGATGACGTGAACACAACCCAAAGAGCCGAACGACTGAATCCATACAACTGTTTGAAGCCATTGACTGAGCCTTTGGTCGCAAACACGAAACCATTTCTCACTGATTGCGGAAACATTTCAGTCAAACCGATCAGTCTTTCGGTGAAAGTCTCGTCCAAATCCTATTGAATGAGTCAATGGATCAGCAAATGGTACGACAAATGCATGACTGGTTGCACACAAACCTCGAAGTCGTCGTCGCCGTCATCCCTGGCATTGATATTCATTTGGCTGTTGGATGTGTGAGGTGTGAGTTGTCCACTGTTTGGTTCGTTGATCCCGGAGTCGGTGGGCGACGGATCACTCATTGATGGCTAGAGTATGGCTTACGTCGGGAGACAAACGCCGTTACAATGAATACACCAAACGATGAATGGTTTTCAATGCATTCGCATCCCATTCACTGCAATGCATGCAAAACGTGAGACTTTACTCTCACTGCAGCAGACAATTGGCGCTCACTTTGAAATGCAATTCACGCGTGGATTATGTGTTCATTAAATCATTAAATATGTTATTTGTAGCAATAATCACGTGACATATGTTTGCATTCATTCATTGCTAGACTATATTAGTTGAGATGATTTTGTGATTATAATATCAAATTAATGAAACAATGAGACAGGTTACATAAGACAAATGCCAAGGTAAAAGTAGATCTATTGCATTAAATGACTCAATGTATAATTAATATCTGATCCCCTGTTTATGCACGTGTTGACTTTTAAAAGTGACCATGTTAAATGACCATGTTTGAATACATGCATTTGTTGACAATTTAAGCCATTCTTTATGATTAAGGATTAGTCCTAATATATTGAGTGATAATTACTGTGACAATGAGTGCTAAACATTAAACATATGATCCGATCATTCAATGTCTTTATCGAGAAATTAAACAAATGTTTCAAACTTTCAAATAACCATCACTTGTATAACCGGAAGAATATTTCAGTGAATCAAATAATGGATGAGTCCATTGGCAGATCCAATGAATCCAATGGTGAGTGTGTTGTGAAGGAAGGGAAAGCAGATATTCTTCGGCTGCCATTTGTCTTCTACAACAGAGTCCAAGAATTCAACCGAGACTTTAGGTTACATTGCATTTGATTATCATTGAATTGATCTCATATTACCATTCATTACTAACATATGACTGAATGTGTAATATCTGAATGAATAGTGTTCTCGCGATTAACACTTTCCTGAAGAATGAGTTGTGGAAGAATGGCGTCAAACCAAACAAATGGATCAAAGACGAGGTATATTTGAACCAAAAAGCATTTGAGGGGTTAATTGGTTTTGTCTTAAGATGACAATATTGGACGCGTTGTCGGCCACTGGTTTGCGATCCATAAGATATGCGTTGGAATGCAATGAATCTGTTCTTCCGCTTAAGATATTCGCAAACGACGTCTCGAAGAAAGCCATTGAAACTATCGATAAGAATATCGAGAGGAATGGTGTCAGCGATAGGGTTGTGTCCAATCAAGAGGACGCCGCGTATGTATTGATGGATGAAGTGTTGCGATGATCTCATTATTTGAATGTTTGCAACCATTAGACTCTTTATGGTTAAGAACCGGAATGTGAAGCAAAGATTTTCAATCATTGATTTGGATCCGTATGGAAGCGCCTCTCCATTCCTGGACTCGGCTGTGCAGGCATTGGCAGAGGGAGGCCTTCTCATGATTACGTGCACTGATATGGCCGTCCTCTGTGGTAATCACAGTGAAGTCTGTCACGCCAAGTACGGATCAATTGCACTCAGATCTAAATCGTGTCATGAAATGGTTTGTCTTTTGATTATTACCCCATTTCTCAATCATTTGGTATTCATTGAAAATAATGTTTGAATGAAAAGGCTTTGCGAATAATTCTTCGAAGTGTGGAATCGCATGCTAACAGATATGGCAGATATATTGTGCCATTACTTTCCCTAAGCATTGACTTTTACGTGAGAATATTCTTACAAATCTATACCTCTCCTCATGAGGTGAAGAGGAGCGCCAGGTTTGACAGAATTGTCTGCCATTTGTTTACTCTATTCTAATCAAATATAAATCACATCAAAAGCAAACTCTCGTACGTCTATCAGTGCACTGGATGTGAATCAATTGAACTCCAAAAACTTGTTAAGAGGTAATACTGTATGTAGTGATTGAAGCAGTGATCATAAAATTAATTTTAATTCCCTTATAATTAGACATTCGGAAAGTGAATATAACTTCAATCCGACGGCACCTAAAGTCGACCGTAAATGCGAGCACTGCGGCTCCACATACCACATGGGAGGTCCCATTTGGTCGGATCCCATACATTCATCTCAATTCATTAATCAATTGCAGAAACAATTATCCGATTTTAATGAACAGGACTTTAAAACTCATAAACGAATGCATGGAATGCTTCAGGTTTTAAGCGAAGAACTGGTCGATTGTCCGCTTTATTACAGTCTCGACCGACTCTGTCGTGTAGTCCAGTGTTCGATGCCTTCTATGAAAACATTTCGTTCGGCGCTATTGAACGGAGGCTTTCAGGTGTCGTACTCTCACGCCAGCAAGACTTCCGTTAAGACAAACGCACCCAACGCTTACATTTGGGATGTTATGCGAGAGATTGAAAAACTTAAGGATAAACACAGTTTGGCTGAAGAGTGTCCAGGATATCAGATAATTAGCAAAGAGTCAACACATGTGGTGTCTTTGGAAACGCACGAAAACGCCGAACCCATGTCTAAGGAAATGCAATTATTGCGATATCAGGTGAACCCCGAACCCAATTGGGGGCCTCAGAGCCTGCCATCAAAAGCAGGAGACAAACGACTCTTAAATCAGGGTAAGAGAGGCCGACCTAAAGATGGCGATGAACCACATAATGATAGTAAAAAAATGCATAATTCATAATAAGTAACTTTTATTCATATTAAAGACTATTTTATTTAATAACATATCATATGATATTCTAACGAAATAACACAATTGATGTGAATAAAGATTATAGATTTACGGTAATTGTTAAACCAATTGACACATAAATGGTCTATTAAATGATAATTTGGATCAATTGTTAAGAATATCAATCAATTGATTTAAAGCCTATTTTGTTTAATCAAAGAGAATGAGTTTAATTTAAGATATATTGGACTTTTTTGTACATTTGCTTATATAGAAATTGAGACCATAGTTGAGTGCAAATGATAACAAATATCATACAGCAATACATTATAAAACAGAATCCCACACGACATGTATCGGATTACATTAATTTATTGAAATGTTGTCTAAACTGAAAATGATCAAAATATATACCGTATCAAGATTAGGAATAGTCTAATGAGTCTGGGGGCACTCCCTTTCAATGGTGTTGGAGAATCAAATGATACCGTACTGTGCTTTGCATTGTATTACCGGGATATTAAACGCTAGCTAATCTCCATTACAAATGGTATATAATTTGAAATAAGTGAATACAGCGCTAATGTTGTTGTAAAGAATTGTCATGCTTATGGATCATAAGTTATGGCTATACAGTACAACCATCAAATCAAATAAAATATTAAAAATAAATAAATAAACTTATAATAAAAAATAAATTAAAATAATTTCTATAAAATAACCAACATTTCAAAAGCGAATAATAGTAAGTCATATACCGTCGAGGGTATTACCGAATAAATTGGTTGATTGGAAGTAATCAGTGATTCAGTGATTGATGATTATAACTAACTTGTAAGCAGTATTGAGACAAATAATCATTATTTGAGTTCAAATGAATGCATCGTTTAGTTTAGATATCATCGAAGAGATTATAAAGAGACCATCAGTTGTGTGGAGGAATCGACGACTCAATAAATGGTGTCATTGTGTGAGTGACGAGAGATGTGATGAATGTCTCAAAGACTGGCCAAATGCGGTGAAGAGTTTCTATTGGTTGCGCTCATTGGTATGAATCGACACATTTTGGAGGCCATCACTTGTAGTAACCGTTTTGTCCATTTGCACGGATTAGCACCTATTCGACTGAATGCCTCCAAAATGATTGACAAATAATCTGTAAACCTATCGGTTAAGGAAAATAACAGCAATTCAAACAATTCATTCATGTGATAGACGTGTTTCATGCAATGAAAAGGATATAGTAGTGTGGGTTGGGGTCGACCGCCGTTGATGTACAACACGTAGGAGAAGCCGTCTCTGGCGGTGCTGTTAATGGAGTAATAAAGAGGTAGAAAGAGGTGTCGTTTAAACTGTCTCTTCTCATAGAAACGAATGGCCACTAAGTTTGTGGTCAAGACGTGTAAATACAGAGCTCTGCAGTCTTTGGTCGACTCGTTTCGGGTCAAGTGATGGATCAGATTGTCTAAGAGGAGTGTCGCGATGCCAACTCGTCGGAACTCCTTCACCACTCCCAACGTCAATATGTATACTACTCTCGAGTTGTTCACTAAACTGGAGGCCAATAATCCCTGGTCTTCGCGGTTGCATTTGGTCTGAGGCTTGATTTCGGCCACAATTAGACCAATGATTTCAAAGTGGAAAACAGCGGCCAATGCAAAGAACTTGGGATTCGATGTGATGTCTTCGTACCAACTGTCGGGATATCTGCGGAGGAATACGAGTGTCAGTAACGAGTGGTCAGAGGAGTGGCTAAAGTGCTGGTCAACTGTGGACTCACTCTATTGGGAACCAATCGCTACATAATTGCTTCACTTTCGGCACATCCGTCGGACACAAAAACCTCAATTCAATCAACTCTTTACTACCATTACATCCAAACAAAAGGCTATTCATTCAGACTATGGATGCACTCATGAAATGAGTGAACAATTGATGACATAATCAACGCATCGGTCACTCACTGGCCGTCAACTGGACTTCACTTTCAAATCAATTCATGTTTTGTTTATGAGTTTAGGGGTTGTATTCAAAGCACATTCACATCACAATCAAACACTTCGAGCAAACTATTCATGAGTTGTTTGCTTTCAAATCATTTCATTTGTCATTCAAAAGTCTATTATTTGTTATTAATTTGTATTGTTATCTGTATTATCGTTAAGTGTGACTAATGCCATGACATATACCCTGATCAATGTGATTGTGTGCAAATAGTGTCAGTCCCTGTAAGTTGTATAATGACAGACAAACAGCTGTTATATGTATGGCTGTATTTACGGCCAATAAATGGTTTATTTATTTGTTGTAATAATAAGTGAAATACATCTGAATATTTGTAATCAATATCTGATTCATAGTTAACAACACTTTCATTGCATTACAACCTCTGCTCTCATTCATTGATCCATTGAATCGCTTCAAAGTGTTGTACTCTTACAGCCATTCATTCATAACTTGTTTTGCTTTTTAATTATTCATTTAATGTTTGATTAAAACATGGATTTAATGTTAAATACCATAATTAGTTGAGTCTTACAATTGAATCATTAATGGTTTTATGAACAAAGTTATAATCGTCTCATTTGATCCATTCATTGGTTATCTCAAGACGTTATATAATAATAATTTGTATTTTTGACAATTTGTCTGAAATGTGATTAAAATGTGGATTAAGTTCGAAGAAGTCTTAATCGCAAACGCCTTTTGGTTAGTATTGAAGAGATATATATGAAGTACTGAAATGATTTCGATGTCAATCTCATGGTATATGTGATGATAGGGTGACTGAGAGGCTGAACCCATACTTCGTATTACAGCGCCGTAAAGGACACGGAACCAGAGGATTGTCATCCATTTTGGTCGGAACTATTGATTCTGTGTTTGACACTAAGGTCTGTCTTATATGATCACCAAATGTGTGACTTATTTATGATTGCTATAAACATGCAATGAATGTAATGTGTATTCCTCGACAGCCTCCGCCGTATCGTATTCTTCATCAGACAACTAATTCAGAAGTCAGTTATTGTAAGTGTTTTTGCATTCAATTGAATCCAATGTTATCTCAATAACTGTTGGTTTGTGTGAAAGCGGTTTCGTGTGCTCTCAAGAAGGATGAGATATACAAAGACTGGCAATGGATTGAAACCCATTTGATGCCGACATTGATATCCTTCGAGAGCGAGGATGACGTGACAGACTTTGTTCGCTGCAAAGTCGACAGTTTGATCGCACAGGCAGTCAGTGATATAAACGCTGCCCAACCCATAGCCGAGTCGACCGATAGCCGCAACTTTAGAGCCGCTTCTCATAAATTCGCAAAACTATTCTCAATGCCTGAGGAGGAGAAACTTGTTAACTGTTAGTCCATCTGTTAATACAATGTTTTGCTAAGTTATCATTTGCTAATTGTCAACATACTGTACCGGTATATCTAGACTACTCGTGTAGCTATTGGAACGGTCGACTACCTCGTCAGGGATGGCTTTATCTAAGTGTTAATCATTTATGTTTCTATTCATATCTCTTTGGCAAAGAACTGAAACTAATCATCAAATGGATTGATATAAAGGTGTGAACATAAAACCATTGCTTATGAATGTGTGTGTAATGTGTATGTGATTGCAGCGCCTGGAACGGGACAGTACTGTCTTCTTTCCCGATAGCATCAAAATACTGACTCGCGATAAATGCTATATATTCTCGTTGTTTCTCAAAACGTCTGAAACTTATAATCTGATGGAACAGTTGGCAAACCTAACGATGAGACAACTTATCTCTGATGAAAGACAAGTGCCGTTCAAAGTTGACCACAACTTAACGGCAAAAAAATCTAAAAATGTGCCCAAAAAGGTGTCTTTTCTCAAACGAGATTTAGACGCCAGAGCTATGAGTGAGTCGTATAGAATCACATTCAGACTGCCATCCCAAGAGAAATTGGACGGAACACTACCTCTCACTCTATGGACACCGTATAATAAGCAACACGTTTGGGGCAAAATGTATTTGTCCAACAATTATATCTGTTTCGAGAGTAGAGTAAGTGTTTTCAGTGAAAACAACTTGATAACTGCCGTAAATGCTAATAATCTCAACTATTTTTAGGTCAAATCTTTAGTCGCTTTAATCATTCCATTGAGAGAAATATTATCGACTGAAAAGTTGGATAACAATCAGAACACAGGATATGATAGGAATAATGCAATTCTGATCTCTTGTTTGAAAGCGAACTTCATTTTCTCACATATCGACGATCGAGACTTTCTTATCATAAAAATATCGGAATTACTTTCGAGACTCACTGAAGATCGACGGTTTGTTTATTGATTATTGCATTGATTGTGAAACTCTAAGTTGATTCTTGATTTATTAGATCCAGTATTGATTCGTTGAGTCGACAGCTATCGACTGTCGATAGCCAGACCTCTTGGGTTCCTGAAGCCGCGCTCAGCACAAAGTTTCCATTCCCTGAAACTGAAGATTCAAAGGCAAAAGAATCTGTAAAAAACAATTTATGGGAATTACATTTCATTGAATACGGGAGAGGCATATCATGTTATCGGACCTCTAAAGCCAGAGAACTCATACTAAAAGGCATTCCCGACGATATTCGCGGAGAATTATGGATGTTATACTCCGGTGCCGTAAACGAGTTGTCCACACATCGGGGCTATTATGAGCTCATTGTTCAGCAAAGTTTAGGCCAACATAGCGTCGCCACCGATGAAATAGAGCGTGATTTGCACCGTTCACTCCCCGAACACCCGGCCTTTCAGTCTGAACTTGGAATCAATGCTCTGCGCCGTGTCCTCAATGCCTATGCTTTCCGTAACCCCAGTATTGGCTACTGTCAGGCCATGAATATCGTTGCGTCTGTTCTCCTACTGTACGCCTCAGAAGAGGAAGCGTTTTGGCTTTTAGTGGCCCTTTGCGAGCGTCTGCTCCCCGACTATTACAACACTAAAGTGATCGGTGCTCTCGTCGATCAGGGAGTGCTCGAAGAGTTAGTCAAAGAACATTTGCCCGAATTGTACAACAAATTGATCCCATTTGGCATTTTGTCGATGATATCTCTCTCATGGTTTCTAACCATATTCCTCAGTGTAATGCCCTTCGAGTCGGCCATACATATCGCCGATTGTTTCTTCTTCGACGGCGCAAAAGTCGTATTCCAAGTGGCGCTCAATATTCTCGCCTCAAATAGCGATGCATTGATGGCCGCCAAAGATGATGGCGAAGCTATGACTGTATTGAGTGGTTATCTCGAGAACATCTCCAACAGAGACGCAAAGATTCCACATATCGTCCATTCGGTGGCCTATGGGTCGGCCTCCAAGAGAGCGAGTCAGACGAGCACTGAAATCAATGATTTGATATACGATTCTTACGCTAAATACGGCTTCATTTCGGCCAATTATATCGAAAAACTTCGAGTAAAGCACAGAATAAATGTGGTCCAGAATCTGGAGGACAATACTATGAAGAACGTGATCCGAAGTCTTCAAAGTTTTCCATTAATTTCTAAATATTTAACTTACGATCAAATCAAAGATATTTACGTCATCTTCAAAGAGGAACAGTTGCGACAACAATATTGGGGCCAAATAACGCCTACGCCCGAGAAGTTTGACATGTCTCACCCTTTCTACGAGATATTCAAGTTGGACATGGATCAGTTTCGGTGGTACTTCAGCCACTCGTCCCCCTGGGCTCAGGCAGAGAACGTGGATTCGCTGATTCTCAGGATATTCACCCTTTTAGACGAGAACTGCGATAATTTGATTAATTTTCTCGAATTCCTAATATTAATGGTTGTAATACTTAGAGCCGACGCCGAAATGAAACTAAGATTTATTTATTGCATTCATTTGCTGAACATTCCGGAACTCATATCATCTCCGAGTCTGTCTGAGAACGAGTCCGACTCACAGGAGACTGAATTGGGCGCTGAGGCCGAAGAGTTCTTCGCCGCCGCCCCCAAACCTCAAGACACCAATGTTTCCTTCACTTTGACTCAGTTTTTGTCATCAATTACTATAACTAATAATAATCATCAAAAGACCGCCCATTCCTTGAGTAGCGCAATGACCGGCGCTATAATGCCATCAAATATCAGTGCCTTAAACGATACACACAATTCAGGTGATCGGAGACCCAGTCTTCCACCTATGAATCAGCAACAGTTCATTCAGTTGTGGAAAACTTTATACGACATCTTCTCCGGTGAGTCCAATGAGCAACAGATCTATCACTGCATCGCTTCTGTGGGCACTTATTTGCTAAAACTGGGAGAACTGTCCTCTCAATCAGAAAACTCTCAAACAAACTCTGATGACATTACCGAGAGTTCTGTAGATAGCGAGACCATTGGCACCGATATGTCTGAATGCGAGTCCAATAGCAGCGCAAAGGCTGACAATAAGAAGTGTGAAGGAGTTGAGGAGAATTGGTTCATAACATTCCAACAGTTCTGTGCGGCTCTTCATACGGAACAACATTTGGTGGACCTCTTCGAAGTGAAACACGACTGGTATTCAGTTTTGGCTAAACTCAAGAACTGGAGATTTGAAAAGCAAAACAGTTTCTCCGCATCCAATCCCAATGTTATTACAGTTTAATGTCTTTCACTCCATTCAGAGTCCAAACAATTGATTGGAAAATATCGCAAATATAAACATTATTTTTTATTTATATTTCAGTCGACACGCTGAAGAATTGAGTTATTTTCAGATTCTTATTTAGAGTACATATTATATATTCTTTAGAAATGAATTTAAAACTTATTCTTTTAATGCAAGTACTATAGGAATCGATTGAATTGAAGGGTTATATCTGTTTTGATATACTGTATAACTGTTTGTATATAATATTACTGTTAAGATAGAGATAAACGAGAGGACAATCATATAATCGTGAAAAACAGCTATACTATAGGAATCGATTGAATTGAAGGGTTATATCTGTTTTGATATACTGTATAACTGTTTGTATATAATATTACTGTTAAGATAGAGATAAACGAGAGGACAATCATATAATCGTGAAAAACAGCTAAATTTAAAAAAGGTCTCAAATTTTAAAGCGATTCTTTATACTATTTTATATACTGTTTTAAATCTATATTTATATTTGCGCAAAAATGTTATTCTTATAGTTATCGATGAATTTATTTACTTTTAAAGTTGAAAATTATATTAAAAGTTATTTCAGAAGAATATATTTGAAAATACAATTGTCTTCCAGTTATTCGCTATAATATCAATGAATTGATTACATAATTGATAATTTAAGTCAATTCTCATTCATGTATTGATAAGACTTGTTATGATTGCTGTTTATTGTTGAAAATGTTTACTAAATCTACAAACAATTGATTTGAAATAAAGTGATTCAATAAAGCATTAAAACTATATTGACTGAAAATAATTGATTACCAATACTGAACTCTTAAGACTAAAATATATGAATATTTTTCATGTTGACAACTACTAAATGAAAAATTTTCAACACTTGATCACTAATTTGACAATAATTATGAAATGTGTTGATATTATATAGGGGTCACCACTTGGATCATATGTACGCTATTGTGAACACTGTTTGTAAACAATTTGATTACAAACACTAAATTCATAACACAATCATTGCATTGAAAATTTGATTTTCAATTTCAAATGAATACCATTTGCTTGTGATTTACGCGTTTAGACATATCCTAAGCACATGTGTTGCCTCGGGTCCAGTGATCGGTGATGGAGTCGTCCAAGAAGTCTGTGGGCAACGGCAGCGCCGAAGACGTGCACCAATTGTCACTGCAATCTGAATCCAACAGTTGCGACAACACGTATGGGTCGTACCGGTCGAGCACCAGGACCTCGATCTCCTCCTATGACTTCACGCCATCGGAGACACCGCGCGAGTCATCGCCTCGACTTCAGCGCAAGTCAGGCCTTAGATCGGCTCAAGTGATGCAACTGTCGGACGACTCGACCACTTGGAGAGCGACTCCCAAACGCAGCAAACGGTCCACTCGTAAGCAACAGATCCAGAACTCGACGGCAAAGATACACGCCTTCCTCATGAAGGGAAAGGCACCAGAGTTTAGGTTCAGGATTGTTGTGGCACTCATTCTCATGGCTATTGTGATCATAATATTGAGTACAAGATATTTCTATAACCGCAACCTAATAGTGGTTGCCATCAAAGACCGCATATTCTTCATTAAAACCCAGAGACAACTGGATCTACTGGACAGCGAGGGCCGGGATCTGTTGCACATAGAGTTCGGACTCAACATTCCTCCAGACATTCCTCCCATTAATTGCAAATCAATTGAGAAGAACACGAGAATCTGTTTGGACTGGAAATATAGGGCACATCTGAGCTTCCAATACAAACATTATCCCAAATCTATCACATGTTATGACATCAAGTGGAAGAGCTATGAAAAGTATGCTATTCTTAAGGACTGTTTCGATTTGAGCACATCCTTCTGGTATGGGATGGGAGACGTGAATGGCCTGAAATGGCCGCTCAATGACATGTCCATCTCGGACTCGCCATTCGTGACCAGTCACCTCACGGACACCACCACTCCATTCGGTTCACTGATTGGCAGACATTGGTTCTCATCGAAAGGCATCACAATAAGCGTCGGACTAAATGTTCCGCTATTTGTCAGTTTGAACAGCACTGAAGACCCCAACAAACTGTGCTTGGTAGGTTTTTGCAAATATGAATCCAAATGAGTGATAATTACCACTAATTGATTTGATTTTAAATTGATTTGAAGATTTCGAAGAAGCAATTCCCGTATTATGTATTAAACAAAAACGATATCTACGCTCAGTTGGAGTACACTATCTGCTCGGCGCCCAGTCTTCCAGACCTACAAAACCATTTGATCGATAGTTCGCCAAAAGCTGAAAACAAAACCGAAACCAATTCCACTTCAACCGCTTCATCAGATCCGGAGGAATACATATTCTTGGAGCGACTCATTTGGGCCACAGATTCAAACGTATTGGCAAACTTTACCCATCAATCACTTCAGGCATATGTGGACCGAATCATGAGCTATGGCTTCGAGCCGGGAGTGGTTCTGTTGGACTCGCGCTGGGAGAACATCATTGGAGACTTCAAAATGAATAAAACCTCTTTCAATAACCCTTCGGTTCTCATTAATATCCTTCACAACAAAGGCTTTAAAATATTGCTCACAATTACGCCAAACATTGATTTGCATTCAAATACGTTATCCAACGCCAGACTTAATCACAGACTTTTACGCGACGTTCGCCTCAATGTCCCACTACTGACCCGTTGTGGCAATCAATATGAATACATCTGTGGTTTAATTAATTTAACAAATCCTGTTAACAGAGAGTGGTTTCGCAACCGATTGGTCGACGAACTGATTACTGGTCTGTCAGTCGACGGCTTTCTGTTTGTCGGCGGACAGTCATCACTAATGCCTCGACACATAAATGTCGACAAAACTATAAATCCCGATAATTATCTAAATCTACTGAAACGAGTGGCCATTAATACCAGTGATTTAATCGGCACAACCAGTTCAGTCGACTCAAAAGAGCTCAAAGGTTTTGTTAAAGTGCTTCCGAGGAGTTCTTCGTGGAATACATTGCGTGGAATCATACCAACTGTCCTATCACTGGGTCTAATGGGTTATCCACTGGTTAATAGCGGTTCAGTTGGAGGCATTCGTGTGCACAATGAGACCACTTATAGCAAAGAGCTGTACATCCGTTGGTTACAAGTCGCGGCATTTCTTCCAGTCATCCAATTCGGTGAACCCGACAACGACCTCGAGATCATAAAAGTTGCCAAAAAGCTACTAAAACTACGCGAAGATCTAATCCTACCAGCGATGAAGACATGTCTTCGCGAATATCATAGGAATGGTTCGCCGATAATAAGGCCGATGTGGTGGACACAACCCCATGAGAGGGACGCCTTCATAATTGACAACCAGTTCTCTATTGGGAACGACATTATCGTCGCACCGGTTGTCGAAGAGGGACAGAAAGAGAGGGATATATTTCTGCCGAACGGCTGGTGGAAGGATGAGATACAGGTGCAAGTGATCAGAGGTGGCAAATGGATGCGCAAATATCAGGTGCCTATCGACAAAGTGGCCTATTTTATTAGGACTGAGCCCTCGCCCGCAGTCTAATTACCGGTATAAGCTAACTGACCAAATGGTTACTTTCAGTATTTTTATTAGCATTTTATAGATTTTATACTTAAAATCAAATATTTTCGTAAAGTTTTTTATGCATTTTAACGACTTTTATAACGATAGTCTAGTGATAGCCTAAAAACAAATGTTTTAAAAAAGATTATGACAATTATGTTGTGTTTATATTTTTGTAAATAAAACAATTCGTTGAAAATGAGATACAAATTGAATTCATTTCATTTCAACTCATTTCTGTCATCGAGTTGTTTGCGCACAGCTTTGGACATGAATTCGAGGAACAGAGTGAAAGAGACGGGAATTTGTCCGCACGAGTAGAGAGCGATCGCCAGGAATGGTATTTTGCGAAGAGTGCGACCACTGAGGGAATGGCTTTGTTCTGCAATTTCCAAGAGTTTGTAATTACCGGCGAATGTTGTGCCCAACGTTTCGGCCATTCGTTTGAGTTGACTGTACGACAGAATGGACTCATCGCACGACACGATGCTCTTGCGGACCAGCTCTTGGATACACGACCTGTAGATCTCGTAAATGGTTTCAACGCACGGGAGGCCGATGTACTGCTTGATGTCAGCCCTGTCCACAAACGCCAAGTCTATAGCAGTGGTCACGTTAGATGTGGTGAGGATTACGACATTCGAGTAGTTCTTAATGCCATCCAATTGTGTGAGCAATGCGTTCACCACTCGTATGGCATCGGAGGGCTCACTGCCATTCATGGAGACCTGTCTGGTGTGCGCCAGACTCTCCACCTCATCGATGAGCACAAGTATGAGCTGATCGTCCGTTTCGACGAACTCTTTGATCCTTTCAAACAATTTCATCACAAGTTTTCCCGACTCTGAGAACCATTTGGAGAACAAAGAGTGGGAATTGATTTCAATGAGTTGTGAGCTCTTGTATCGGTGTCTCAACCGAATGGACAGCTTCTGAGCCAACGCGCGACACAACGATGTCTTTCCAGTGCCGGGCGGGCCGTGAAGTAACACCACTTTATTCCAGTTAATCAGTTGACTGTCCACTCCTTTGTCGGCGAACGTGAGGGCGGTTAAGACAAACTCAAGCAATTGGTCTTTGATGTTGAGGTCAAACACAAGGCTTTCCCACAATCCGTGCAATTCATTGGACGGAAGTATCGTGTGTTGTGCTGAAGGCAACTGTTCCTCATTGGTCTCCATCTCATCGGTGGTCACGCTCTCGTAGTTTAGGTGATAGACGTAGTACTTGAATGCGGGTCCCGTCTGTGCCGGTGATGATGTCTGTCCACTGGCCTCGGATGACAGACACCGACTCAGAGACACATTAATGGCGTCGATATTAGAGGACAACTGTTTCGGCAGTTTATCCATCACTGCAAACGAGTCCCTCTTTTCGGTCAATTGTCGCACCATTTGATCCAACTCTCCATACGATTGGATCCAATTCATCACAACACTCGTAATCTCGGAGACATCACTATAACTGTTCCGCTTCTGAAGGACTTCCAAATGAATGACTAAATCATTCATTTTGTGGTCAATTGTGTCCACAATTGTGTCCACACTTTAACCGCTGTTTGAAAAGCACTTCAAAGCGATCGTCCAATCAATGAATGAGTCCTCAAAACACACATAAATTACGTGCGATTTGTCACAAAATAATTGTTTTTTGTTTACATTTTGGGGTCAAAAGGATTACGTGAAGAAGACTGACGAAGACATCAGTCATTTGAGACTCGATTGCAGTGATAGTGATGTCAAGAGGCGGTCGATCGGGTGCTAAGAAAAGAGGTGACAATACTCTGACATTTTCGTTGGAATCGATTGGTCTGACACGTGGTGATGCCCTCCCGCCGCCGACACTCGTCCCTCCCCTCAACTACCCGTCCATTGACGCCAAAGCACTTGCACTCCATGACAACGATGTGGACAACTATTTGCTGACTTTGAAGCAGGAGTTGAGGCAATCGTTGACGACATCCAAGTACTACATCAGTGCTCCCAAAGAGAGGCCACACATCGAGAGGTATTCCGATAAATACGAAAACATCGCAAACGAGACGCCAATCAATGACAACGACATCCAAATCGGTATTCATTTCAGTCATTGCTCTTTGAATATCATTTGAGATGACAGTCTTTGACAGTTTGTGTCTCATTGTGTCCATAGATAGCAGAATATTTGCCACAGAATTGCTTCCGAAGAGACCGAAAAGCAAAACGAAGACACAGACGAAGAGCACTAAGGATTTGGACCAAAGATTAGACAAATTAATAGAAGACGAAAAGGAAGACAAAAGCGATGACCAAAAGAGTGAAGACGAGGCGGACAACGCTTCCGACGCCGAGAAAGTGGAAGACGTGGAGGATATCGAAGAAGTAAAGCATTTGTTGTTAAATATGAGTATAAATATTGATGTGATTTGTATTGACGAATAGGGAACTGATTACACGTTTTCATACTTCGACAACGGAGAGGACTACTTGGATGAGTCCGATGACAACATGGATGAGGGACCCACCTATTGATCACTTGTCCCACACTATACCATTTGTATAATACATTTTCAATGAAATATTTTATACTAAATGACACGAGTATTGATCGTTATAGTAGTCATCAATTAATTAATCAATTATTAATTGAATTGTAAAATATAAACATTTAATAAAATTGTGTAAAACATATACAATATTAATGATGACTAAGGATGTGATTGTGTACGCTATCAGTGGTGTTGTGATTATGATTGGATTCACTAATATATATGACATAAACAATGGGTGATATAAAACATAAAACAAATGCTAATAACAATAGATTACACCAATTGATGCCATAATCAGATTCATCACACGATAAAAAGGCACTTCTATTCACAGACTGTTTCCCGTCGACCACTTGCACCTCATTTGCATCACAACTCGCACTCAACGTCTGTTCCAAGTTATCGATAGCCGACCTCTGGATCACAGTTTCAGTCGATTGTCTCAATCGTCTGAGATCTTCGTCCATATGTGACAAGAACTTGAGGCCATTGTGAGCACTGGTATGACTCAAATGCTGTGATATCCCTATATTGACAGTGAGTGGTGTGTTGTCTGCTCGGGACGGATGGCACTGTTGGCTATTGATCTGATGGACCAATACATCGCTAAGAATGCCGCACTTCTTAGCCGGAAGTTTCAACACTCGGAGTCCATAGAACTCCTGGTCGGACATCAAATGATTGATTTGCTTGATTTGAGACACAGAACAGCCGTAACGTAAGGCAATGGCACGAAGACTCTCATTACCATTCACTCGGTATGGGATGTAGTCGTCCAGTGGTTGCGGCCGTTGTCTGTGCGCTGGACTCCCATCGGAACTGTTGGTCTGTCTGTTCTTCAGCTCAAACTCAGTGGTGTTGCGATGGTGTGAGTCCTGTGTGGTGTCATCCAAATGAGACAATTGCTGGTATTTAACACTTCTGTAGTCATTTGGTGTCCGAAAACGGCTTTTACTGAAAACACTGGTCATTGAATTGACATGAAGTGCGGCACAATGGTATCACATGTCATACAAATTGGTGCCAATATTGTCAATAAAACACATTTTCTATGAAAATGAGTAATTCATAATCAAATGCTAAACAAAATTCATTTATTATCTAAATGTGTGTCAAATGTGTGACAATTGACTCATTTATTACGCGAACAGATGGCAATCAAAGCACACTTTCTCTACTTTACGAGTCGTACCAAACATTTCGTGCGCCTCCACTCAAACACACGCTAATGCTTGTCACAAATAGTACCAAACAGTCGGCTATGGATAGCACTGGTTGTGAGTAAACCAAACACTGTTTGCGTCATCAATACGTCTAAACATGTTTTGCATAGAAATGACAGCAAATGACGTGATTTATGTGGAAACGACTGAATGAGTGAAATGTTGTTTTGTATTGTCTGTCAAACAGTGACTTTGCGATGGTGTGAGTCCTGTGTGGTGTCATCCAAATGAGACAATTGCTGGTATTTAACACTTCTGTAGTCATTTGGTGTCCGAAAACGGCTTTTACTGAAAACACTGGTCATTGAATTGACATGAAATGCAAGCAATGGTATCACATGTCATACAAATTGGTGCCAATATTGTCAATAAAATACATTTTCTATGAAAACTCGTAATTCATAATCAAATGCTAAACAAAATTCATTTATTATCAAAATGTGTGTCAAATGTGTGACAATTGACTCATTTATTACGCGAACAGATGGCAATCAAAGCACACTTTCTCTACTTTACGAGTCGTACCAAACATTTCTTGCGCCTCCACTCAAACACACGCTAATGCTTGTCACAAATAGTACCAAACAGTCGGTTATGGATAGCACTGGTTGTGAGTAAATCAAACACTGTTTGCGTCATCAATACGTCTAAACATGTTTTGCATAGAAATGACAGCAAATGACGTGATTTATGTGGAAACGACTGAATGAGTGAAATGTTGTTTTGTATTGTCTGTCAAACAGTGACACAAACGGTAACATCGATTGCATTGACTCTTATGTAACAGTAATCGAGTGGTGACTGAAGTGATCGCATGTGTCTGTAGACACACTCTGTTGCCATTCACTGGTGACACCCGAAGAAGCATCTGTTGATGACTGAGTTGTGCCACAAGTGGTGGTGGGAGTCATGAGGAGCGCCACTTCCACTCATGAGGCCAATGGTTCA